GAAGGACACCGTAACATTAAGTTTTTTCACCGAATAGCTAATGCTCATAGGAGGGGTAATCATATTGGCCAGATTCGTGTGGATGGTTCGTTGTTGGTTTCTGATGAGGAAGTGCGAATGGGGATTCTCTCTTTTTACTAGAGATTATATACTGAGCCTCTTCGATGGAGGCCAAAAGGCTGGATGGTCTTCATTTCGATTCTATTTCTATGGAGGATAAAGATGGGCGTGAAAGGCCATTCACGGAGAGGAGGTTCGGAGGCCTTAAAGAGTTGTAATGGTGATAAAGCTCCAGGCTCGGATGGCTTCACTATGAGTTTCCTTCTGGAAAGCTGGGAGGTGGTCAGATTGGAGGTTATGGGAACTTTCCGTGAGTTTCATTCCAATGGAAAGTTCGAAAAATCGCTAAACACTTCTTTTATTGCTTTGATTCCTAAGAAGGGGGAAGCTTCTGACATTAAGGATTTTAGACCTATCAGATTGATTGGGTGTCTGCATAAGCTTATTGCTAAAGTCCTGGCATCGAGGTTGAGGGGGGTTCTGGATGGAGTCATCTCTGAGTCTCAGAATGCATTTATTGGGGGGTAGACAGATTCTGGATTCCGCTCTTATTGTTAGTGAATGCGTGGATTTTAGGCTTCATAGCGGGAATCCCGAAGTTCTGTGTAAGCTGGATATTGAGAAAGCTTGTGATCATGTTTGCTGGAATTTCTTGTTCTATTTGCTTGAGAGGATGTGTTTCGGAGAAAGATGGAGGAAATGGATTGTTACTTGCGTTTCGTCTGTCAGATTTTCAGTATTGGATAACGGTTCTCCATCCGGGTTTTTGGCAGCTCTCGTGGTTTAAGGCAAGGGGACCCCCTTTCCCCTTTCTTGTTTATTATTGTTATGGAGGCTCTTAGTAGGCTGATGAGGAGGGCTGTGACCTTGGGGTTTCTACGGGGTTTTAAGATTGGTTCAGAGGTAGCCCATCAACTGGAGACTTCTCACTTGCTATTTGCGGATGACACTTTGGTTTTTTGTGAGGCAGAGGTGTCCCAATTGAGATATTTGAGATGTGTTCTGGTGTGTTTTCAGGCTGTTTCTGGCTTGAGAATTAACGTGGGTAAAAGTGTGCTTGTTCCAGTGGGGGAGGTTCAGGAGATAGCTTCTCTTGCAGCGGTTCTTGGATGTAGGACGAGCTCTTTCCCTATTCCTTATTTAGGTTTGCCATTGGGTGTTTCCTCTAGAAGGGCGAGTAGTTGGGACCCGATTATTAAGCGCTTCAAGAGAAGATTGGCTGGGTGGAAAAAACCATATCTTTCAAAAGGAGGAAAGGTCACGTTGGTAAAGAGTGTTCTGTCCAGTCTTCCAACTTATTTTCTTTTCTGTTCCAGATTCCCTCTTCCGTTGCTAGGAGACTTGAGATGATTCAACGTAATTTATTTTGGGGTGGTAGGGGGGAGAAGTTTAAGTATCATCTTGTTAGGTCGGAGCAAGTTTATAGGCCTATTAAGTCGGGAGGTCTTAGGATTCGGAGATTGGCCCCTTTTAACAGGGCCCTTCTTGGCAAGTGGCTTTGGAGGTTTGGCAGTGAAAGACATAGACTATGGTGGAAGCTTATTGCTTGTCAGTTTGGGGAGGAGAGAGAGGGATAGTCTGCTAGACCGGCTAGATCTGCTATTGGCGTGGGCGTGTGGTTTTCCATTGGGAAGGGTTGGGATGAGTTTTCTAAGTATATTATATTCAAAGTTCGAGAAGGTCGAAATGTTCGGTTTTGGGAGGATCCTTGGTGCAAGGATCGTCCATTGTGCAGACGGTTTCCTAGATTGTTTAAGATTGTTGTGGATTGTCATGCTTTGGTTGCTGACTGCTATAACCTTGATAGCGGTAGGTTTTCTTGGGATGTTCAGTTCCAATGAGCCTTTTAGGATTGGGAGCTGGATGATGTCTTTGACTTTTTGGATATTTTGTATCGACAGAAGGTGGATGGTACTGGGGCGGATATCTTGACTTGGGTGCCTTCTTCACAAGGGATCTTTCAGGTCCGATCTTTCTTTTTCTGTATTTCCGGCTTTCAGGCCTCCTCTTACCCGTGGAAAATGGTTTGGCATTCGAAGGCTCCTCCTAAGGTGGCTTTCTTTGCTTGGACTGCTGTTTGGGGTAAGATCTTGACTCTGGACAATTTGAGGAAGAGACGACATATCATTGTTAATCAGTATTGTTTATGTATAACTGATGGAGAGTCTGTGGATCACCTTCTCCTGCACTGCCCAGTGGCCCATGACTGTTGGAGCCTTATGTTGGGTCTTTTTGGCATCCAGTGGGTTATGCCTCGGACCTCACGGGGACTTATTGATGTTTGGAGGGGGCAAAGGGTGGGGACTCGTGTTCGCGATTTCTGGAGGATGACTCCTTTTTGTATCTGGTGGTGCCTATGGAAAGAACGTAATAGAAGATCATTTGTTGGGCAGGAATTACCCATTAGGGCTTTACAGTACTCCATCATTTGTTCTCTTTTTTGTTGGGGTATGGGGAGAGATTGTTCTTCTGTAGAGGAGATCATGGATTTTTTGGGGTCCTTACGTCCATAGGTCTCCTCTTTCTTTGGTTTTTGATTGCTATTTTGTTTTGTTTTTGGTTATTGTACTGATCTTGGGGCGCGTTCCTCTTCTGAACGCCTTCTGATACAACTTTACGTATCAAAAGAAAAAAAAAAAAAGTATACCTCCTTGTTACATGTGTATCTCTCTCCACAACCCAAAACAATTTCCTTACTTTTCAACCTACATGCATAAACACTGCCAAAATGTTAGGCATACACACGCACACATATATATGTAACGTGTATAAAGTCTGTCATTCTTACCCCCCTTTCTCTCCCTAGCTTACTCCTCTCTCTCTCTCTAGCAGCAACCTCTCTCTAGCAGCAAGCATGTTTCTCTCTCATTCTGTCTCGCTATATCTCTCTCCATATATACACAGTCACATATATAGCAGCAAGCAAGTTTCCTATTACAACAATAAACACAATTCAATCCAATAGAAAGAAAAAAAAAATTGACAGAGAAGCCAATTACTTTAAAACCAACAGGCAACCAAATACAAATCAACTGCCAATCGGAACCGAATCCCACATGCCACTAAGTCCATCCCCGAAATTGAATTCAGATTCATGCCTCCAGCACTTTGTTTTCCAATTAAACTTGCCATTGCCATATCAATGATAAATAAGGTAAACTAAGATAAATATACATGTGTATATATATACACACACACAGTCATATATGTATATAAAGAGAGGGATCAAAAGATAGAAGAACAAACAAGGGTAAGATTTAGGACTTGAGACCCAAAACTTAGAAATCTTTTCCTTCCACCAACAGGCCAGTGGCCTAGCGGTACCAAGTTCCTACTTCTCAAAGAGAGGTCAGGGGTTCGAGCCTCAGTGGAGGCATGTGTGTGTAAGTACCAACTAAGAAAAAAAAAAAAAATCTTTTCCTTCCCATAAAAAGAAAGCAAGAGTGGAATTGAAACCTTAATTATGAAATTGACTGATGGATGGGATGAATATGAGGGAGAGATACACTCTTGTTTAGTGCCATTTCTTTTGGTCATTTCAGATATAACATTTTTTTATTTCATTACATGGGTATTTAAGTAATTTTAAAGCTCTACTAACAGCAGGTTGACAAAAGGGATGTAATTTTAAGTAATTTTAAAATTACTCAAAATTACATGGGTATAAAGTAATTTTAAGTAATTTTTAGAACAGGAGGAGTGTTATATGCACAATTTTGAGGGGTGTTATATGCATAATTTGCATACCACGAGGGTGCTTTCTGCATTTAATAATTTTCCTTTATAGTAGAAAACAACTTTTTTTTAATAAGTACAGTAGAAAACAACTTAAGCTCTGTTTAGAACCAAAAACTTTTGGGATTTGGATTTCGAAAGGGAATTCGAATTGGATTGGAATTAAAATGAAATTTCATTTGTGTGTTTGGAACATATTAAATTTGGAAGGAAAGGAATTTATTTTTTAGTTTGGATGTAAGATGGATTTGAAATGAAAATAGTATTATACCATATCTACCCTTATTAAAATAACAAATAGAATATTTATTTTAAAATACAATTATATAGATATGAAATTGTAAAATGAGTAAATAAATAAATTAAATTAACTTTTCAGAATGTCCTACACTAAAAATTTGTCTGATTGCTTGTAAATATCTTTAAAATATTTTTTTGAATTATTCTAGAACCAATTTTATAATATAAATAGGAATAGGAGTAGAAGTAGGAATTTATTTTTTAGTTTGGATGTATGATGGGATTTGAAATGAAGATAGTATTATACCATCTCTACCCTTATTAAAATAACAAATTGAATATTTATTTTAAAATATAATTATATAGATATGAAATTGTAAAATGAGTAAATAAATAAATTAAATTAACTTTTCAGAATGTCCTACACTAAAAATTTGTCTGATTGCTTGTAAATATCTTTAAAATATTTTTTTGAATTATTCTAGAGCCAATTTTATAATATAAATAGGAATAGGAGCTTTTGCTCCACACCAACAATGGCTTGTAATCCCTCCATAATATAAGGAGTTCAATAAGTAATATAACAAATCCATTGAGCATAAACATTTACATAACAATGCTATGTTACTTAATTTGTAACCACGCAGTTGGAAGACTTGATATGGACCGGAAAATACTCAAAAGTAATATAGAGATAAAGAAACAGACTAAGAAGACCTTATACATAAATAAAGTATTCACAACAATATATAAAGGATTCACAACAATTAAACAACTAGAGAATAGGCTGTGTTGGTTTGCATGGAATTGGTGATTTGATAGAAAATTTAAGTCAAAGTTTAAACAGTATTTGAGAGGGTAAAAAACAGTATTTGAAATCCCATTGGTTGTCCCAAACAATTTCCAAATCCAAATACCATGAAATCCAACGCTTATATATCTAATTCTACCAAAGTAAAACTCACCTTCATGTTCTTAAGAACCACGATCTCTCCCATCTTGTAGCGACTCCGAGGGCGATCGATATTGCCGTAGTAACTTCTTGGGTACTCCTCCGCGGACAGAGGATCATCATCCACCTCTTCCGCTGCCTTGGCGTGGAGAGAGTTGACTGCAAACCACAGCTTCAGCCCTTGCTTCATCATATTGCAGGGGAATTCTGACCCTTCTTTCAGAAATCGATTGAATGCTCTGTTTTTCTTACCTTCGGCGTGAGGAAGTTGTTTGGAGCGCGACTCCGAATCTGAATTGTTAGTTGGAATATCTGATCTGGAGATTGGAGGAGATAAGGTGCGGGGGGAACGAACAGGCATTCGAGAGAAAAGCTTCGAGTAAAATGTGGTGAGATCTCTTGATGCCATTGCTGCATCTACGGTTTTTGGATGTGGGAGAGAGAGAGAGGGAATGCGTTGTTGCCCCTAGGGTTTTTGGCTGAGATATATACTAGCTTATAATTTTACGGTCGATTCATATAAAACTCTATTTAAAATGGGTTAATTGCTACCCCAGTTAATTGCTACCCCAATTAAAAATTAAGGTTAATTACAACGACACCCTTAATGTTTGTTATATTGACAATTATAAGTCAGTCCTTTTTAACAAAAACACCCCCTTAGGATAAAGTTAATAAAGACACCCCATGCTGGTGAATCGACATTATTGTCCCTTGATACATTCAATTACCAATTTATACAATACAATTCTTTCTTATTGACCAAAATATCCTACTAATAAACCAAACCAACAGCCATTACCATCCACTCCTAAATGAACCCACCACCACCCTATCATACCCATGATGCACAAAACCTACCGCAAATGTTCAAGGATTTTTGTTGTCATTGCTCATCAGACATAACATCCTCAGTCGAGCCCCTCTTCCTCCTCACCAGACTCTTCTCTCTACCGTCGTTCCACCGTCGCTAGATCTTCCTCTTTAGCCGTCTTAATTTGCTTGCCAGAATCCGAGCTATTTGCCATCGCCTATCACGCCCGAGCCATCATCCGAAGCCACAAGCTCGCCATCAGCCACCGCATCATAGCCAAGTCCTCTGTTCTAAGCTTTCCGCCGCTTTGGTCAAAACCAGTGAAGCTAGCCGGCCGATTATTGCCCCCCAGTTTCAGGTCACAGTTCCTCTCACGGCCGAGCCCTCCACCGGCTGAGCCGCCCGCCATTCATCACAGCCGATTCATAACAGTCGCGAACACAGTCCGCTGTCGTCACTTCATCTCAGCTGACTTCCCCACAGCTATACAAAGCCAATCACTGCCCCACCGCTCGTCCACCGTTGTTCCATGCTTTCGGCCGTGAACCGTCCATATCCGATTCCAACCAGTCGTCGCTCACCACCGCAGTTCACTGCTGATTATGTTTCTAAAAGATAAGTAAAAGGTTTTTTTTGGAAACCCAAGGTAGTGAGTGATGAATGGTGTGAGTGAAATCAAATGGGTGGGGTTTTTCTTAGGTTGTCTTGGATTAGGTGATGGTGATTGAAGAATGGGGAGGAAGGAGGCGGTGAGATTGTGGAAGAGTGGAAGTTACAGTGGTGTAGGGATGGTAGGTGGCGAGATGTAATAGTGCATATATATATAAGGGCAAAGTTGACTTTTCACGAATTCTGATATTTTATCATAAAAATAAATTAAACATTGAAGGGCAATCTCATCTTTCATAATGTTTTAAGGGCTTGTTTGGAACAAAATTCTCACAGGGGGTGTCTTTGTTCAAAAAATGACTAAGTTGTATATGGTTGACAATATGGCAAACCTCAGGGAATGTCGTTGTAATTAACCCTAAAAATTAAATGCATATTAATCCCCATATTATCAACCTTTTAAGCAAATTGCTCCCTAAGCATCAATTTTGACCAAATTGTTATTAAAAATCCCAAAACGCCCTCATTATGATGTAAGCCAAACAAAAAATTTAATCACTTTTTATCCTCTCTCTCTTCATTCTTTCCCTCTCTATTAGGTTTCAAAGACTATTTAAGGCAAGCTTACCATGAACTCTGGTAAGAGCATCATCTTGTTCCTAATCAACTCTTCAGCCTTTAATTGTTGTTCTGAAGCTCTTCAGCCCAATGGGTGGGACTGTTGGAAAGATATATGCTTCATGTGACATTTAAGATATAACAAACTTTATATTAAATATGCAACTCTATATTTAATTAAATATGCAAAATAAATCAATAAAATAATAATAATATACAAGGAATGAACCTGGACCGAGGCTAGTATTGGATACTATGTCCTTAAGACAGATTCACTCCGCTATAGTGTTAACGGACTCAGTAACGTCTATCTCCCAGGATACAATGGTCTACATCCACCAGTAGCAGCACTACAAACTCGTGGATACAGCGAACCTCCTCCTTGTAATACTCTTTTTGACTAAAAAATGCATCTATATACTATATAAATGCTGAATTGGGTGCAATCCGAATCAAATGGTTCGGACCAATCTTAATATGGCTCGATGAAATTGAATTATGGTCTAAGTGGTTTGAACCACTTAACCTATGGTTTGAACCCACTTGGGTTGGGTTCAAGTTAAGAGAGGGAGATAGAAGAAATTGAAAAAAATGTATGAATTGCAAATGATCTAAAGGGGGGTATTTATAGGCAACAAGGTGCATTTTCGGATTAGGTGCAACCCTTTGGAAAAAAACTAAAAAGTTGTTTTTAATTAATGTGCCTTTTCGGATTAGGTGCGTCTCTTCATCCTTAGACACAACCATTTATATGTGTCTCTTCACACTAGACACATCCACTCCAATTGGTTGCAATGGTTCACATAGTGTTTGTTCACCAATAGACACATCCACTCTAATAGGTTGCAATGGTTCACATGGTGTCTGTTCACCAATAGACACATCCACTCCAATAGGTTGCAATGGTTCACATGAATAGTTATATTTGTTGGTTTTGAGTTTCAACCCTTTAGAAACAGATGCAACTCTTTGAAAAACAGATGCAACCCTTTAGAAATAGATGCAACCCTTTAGAAAAAAACTAACTTTTAATTTAAATTAAAAAACTAACCACCTATTTAAATGAGCCCAACCCAAAATTAAAGGCCCAATCCAAGATTTCATTTAGTAAAAAGAATAATTGGATTTTACAATTAGGCCCAAGCCCAAGCCCAAGCCCAAATTTGGCTTATTTAAATTTCAATTAGTTTCAACATTTTTTCCATGTGGGACAAACACTTCCCACATTTTGCATACCCATTCAGGCTTATCAAAACACTACATTTTGGAGCTAATTTTTCATTCACCCGGAAACAGATTTGATAAAGTAAATATACCACGCTCATCTCCCTGCGGAGAGAAACGCGCTTATCTAGAGATCTACAAAAAATTATTAGCGGAATTTATTCCAAACCTCATCGAAAGTTTATGTTTTTAATGCCCCCGTTTCCAACAATCCCCTACATGAATGGAAATTTACGTAAAATGTAAAAGATGATCGTGCAGACACTAGAGAGAGTATAGTCGGAAAATTACTGCATCAGAATAGGTAGCTTTTGGCTTTGAACCTTCCCTAGTGTATTGTTATCAGATTTACTGGCTTACCAGTGAACGCGATGCGATGTCTTGAACTGTTCAGCCGTTTGTGTAAACCAAGACAATGACAAACACACAGTACCTTTCCTCACAAAGTTGGTTCTCATTATTGTGTTCATTTTGGCCCCAACTCTTGGTATTAAATGAGTGCTCTAGAAAACTTAGCATTTATAGTTCTCATAGAAGCGGCCCCACTTCACACTCATATAGGTGATTTCTTATTAAGAGTATCATACCATACCCAACTTGAATTTTCAAGGTATAAGAGTCATTTAAAGCGTAGTTTATCCTAATCCTCGCTATAGGTAGCACTGTTTCATCATAGAAATGGGCAGAAGATTTGTATCTTCCCAGTGCTTCTAGTAAGTCACTCAAAATTTCTGTTGTCCCTTTGAACCTAGATTCTGGGATCTCTAGTCAACTAGGTTGGGTTTCCATTAAGGTGACTCGTTAGCTTTCGGCTTTTAATCCCATTCCCCTTGATGATCTGTACAATTGCTCTTTAGTACAACCCTCAATTTTATATGTGGCCACAAGGTTGTGTTTAGAAATATTACACTCTGCAGAAATTTCTACAGGTGAGAGCAACTGTATACTTTGTGCCCTAAATGTAATACCCCGATATTTTAAAGGATTTATTAATTGGGATTAATTACTTTTATTTTATTTTTAAATAATTTATTTATTTTAATTTGAATTAATTTTGTTTATTTTAATTTTTAATTGATTTGTTTTATTTAGTGCTTAAATTAATTGTTTTATTTTATTTATATTTCGTGAATTATTGATATGATGATTGATGTGTGTGTGCTTAATTATTGATTGAATTGTTAGCGATTTTGGTGTGACTTATTGTAATTTATTGTGTTTAGTGCAATTAGTTTTTAGTTTTTTTATTTTTATTTTCTATTTAAGTGTTTATTTAATTATTTGGTTTATTTAAATTAATTGGATTTGAGCTTAAGGGAAGTTGGACCAAAAGATATGGTATTGGGCTTGTATGAAGCCTTATTGGGTTAATTAATAAAAGCACGGTTATTTAATTATTTAAATGATCATTTTTGTATTAATTATAAACAATATAAAAATACAATTAATTAATAATTGTTATGGAAAGATATATATATATATATATTTATAAATATATATTATTTAAAAATTATTATTTTATTTGAGAGTTCTAGTTGGAATAGGATTTTGATTTTAATGTGTATATTTATACACATAAGGCTTCAGGGTTAAAAGTTTACACCTTAGAAAAATAAAGGAGGCAGAGAAAAATGAAGAAGAAGGGCTGACAAGGAAGAAACTGAATTTGAGAAAGATGACATGGAATTTAGAAGAGACGATCAATGTTTGAAGTGTCGGTTTCGTTTCGAAACCTTTAGGCGAGTTTTCTCTATTTTGCCTTTTAGAATGCATAAGTATTTCACATTGAGTATCAAGACTTTAGATTAAATTTATTAATTTAAATCATGGTTAGAACGGCTTAATCAAATATATTAAGTTAATTTTATTTAATCTGTTAATTTTATTTGATTAAATCAGGATTTAATCAGAATAGCTAAAAGCATGAATTATTATTATTTAATATTTTTGAAGTTTTGAGGTTTAATTGTAATATATTGGTGTTATGTATATTTTAAATCAATTTATATGTTGATTTATGACCCAAGATGGTTATTTATGGTTTCCGGAATTTCTAGAATTTTTCTTAAATTTCCTGGAATTTTTTGACATTTTTCTGCTATTTTTGGGAAATTATTGGACTTTGTTTTTTTATATTTATTGGAAATTTATATATATGTATATATATAAAAATATTATTTATACATAGATACACCGGCTGTGAAGTGTTGCCTTAATAGG